CCAGGTGGAGAACCTGCTGCTGGACATCTTGTTCTTGTGTCCCCATGTCCCCACCTTGTCCCCCTCTCCACGTTGTCCCAATGTCCCCGCCAGAAGAACCTGCTGTTGGACCTCTCCATGTCCCCATGTCCCCACCTTGTCCCCGTGTCACCTTGTCCCCATGTGGAGAACCTGCTGTTGGACCTCCCCATGTTGTCCCCACCTTGTCCCCATGTCACCTTGTCCCCAGGTGGAGAACCTGCTGCTGGACCTCTCCATGTCCTCTTGTCCCCATGTCCCCACATCCCCACCTTGTCCCCATGTCCCCATGTGGAGAACCTGCTGTTGGACCTCTCCATGTCCCCATGTCCCCACCTTGTCCCCGTGTCACCTTGTCCCCATGTGGAGAACCTGCTGTTGGACCTCCCCATGTTGTCCCCACCTTGTCCCCATGTCCCCATGTGGAGAACCTGCTGCTGGACATCCCCATGTCCCCATGTCTCCACATCTCCATATTGTCCCCACCTTGTCCCCACGTGTCCCCATGTCCCCAGGTGGAGAACCTGCTGCTGGACATGTCCATGTCCTCGTGTCCCCATGTCTCCACATTGTCCCCATGTCCCCTGGTGTCCCCTTGTCCCCAGGAGAAGAACCTGCTGCTGGACCTCTCCATGTCCCCATTTCTCCACCTTGTCCCCATGTCCCCAGGTGGAGAACCTGCTGTTGGACCTCTCCATGTCCTCGTGTCCCCATCCACGTCCCCATGTTGTTCCCACGTTGTCCCCCTGTCCCCCCCAGGCAGAGAACCTGCTGCTGGACATCTCCATGTCCTTGTGTCCCCACCTTGTCCCCACCTTGTCCTCAGGTGGAGAACCTCCTGCTGGACCTCTCCATGTCCCCACCTTGTCCCCACCTTGTCCTCAGGTGGAGAACCTCCTGCTGGACCTCCCCATGTCCTCGTGTCCCCATGTTGTCCCTGGTTGGAGAACCTTCTGCTGGACATCTCCATGTCCTTGTGTCCCCACCTTGTCCCCATGTCCTCAGGTGGAGAACCTCCTGTTGGACCTCCCCATGTCCCCTTGTCCCCACCTTGTCCCCACATCCTCAGGTGGAGAACCTGCTGTTGGACCTCCCCATGTTGTCCCCATGTCACCTTGTCCCCAGGTGGAGATCCTGCTGTTGGACATCCCCATGTCCCCATGTCCCCATCTTGTCCCCATGTGGAGAACCTGCTGTTGGACATCCCCATGTCCTCATGTCCCCATGTCTCCATGTCCCCACCTTGTCCTCAGGTGGAGAACCTCCTGCTGGACCTCCCCATGTCCTCGTGTCCCCATGTTGTCCCTGGTTGGAGAACCTTCTGCTGGACATCTCCATGTCCTTGTGTCCCCACCTTGTCCCCATGTCCTCAGGTGGAGAACCTCCTGTTGGATCTCCCCATGTCCCCACCTTGTCCCCACATCCTCAGGTGGAGAACCTGCTGTTGGACCTCCCCATGTTGTCCCCATGTCACCTTGTCCCCAGGTGGAGATCCTGCTGTTGGACATCCCCATGTCCTCATGTCCCCATGTCTCCATGTCCCCACCTTGTCCTCAGGTGCTGCTGGACATCTCCATGTCCTTCTGTCCCCATGTCCCCACGTTGTCCCCATGTCCCCAGGAGAAGAACCTGCTGTTGGACACCTCCATGTCCTCATGTCCCCACATTGTCCCATTGTCCCCACCTTGTCCCCATGTCCCCCCCAGGCAGAGAACCTGTTGCTGGACCTCCATGTTGTCCCCATGTCTCCATCTTGTCCTTGTGTCCCCACCTTGTCCCCATGTCCTCAGGTGGAGAACCTGCTGTTGGACCTCCCCATGTCCTCTTGTCCCCACCTTGTCCCCACCTCTTCAGGTGGAGAACCTGCTGTTGGACATCTCCATGTCCCCGTGTCCCCACCTTGTCCCCATGTGGAGAACCTGCTGTTGGATGTCCCCATGTCCACCACCTTGTCCCCATCTTGTCCCCAGGCGGAGAACCTGCTGCTGGACATCTCCATGTCCTCGTGTCCCCATGTCCCCACCTTGTCCCTGGTTGGAGAACCTTCTGCTGGACATCTCCATGTCCTTGTGTCTCCATGTCCCCACCTTGTCCCCACGTCCCCAGGTGGAGAACCTGCTGTTGGACCTCCCCATGTCTCCATGTTGTCCCCACCTTGTCCCCATGTCCCCACCTTGGCCCCAGATGGAGAACCTGCTGCTGGACATCTCCATGTCCCCATGTCCCCACGCTGTCCCCATGTCCCCAGGAGAAGAACCTGCTGCTGGACATCTCCATGTCCCATGTCCCATGTTGTCCCCATGTCCCCTGTCCCTGCAGGCGGAGAACCTGCTGCTGGACGCCGAAGCCAACATCAAGATCGCGGATTTTGGGTTCAGCAACGAGTTCCGGGCGGGGTCCAAGCTGGACACCTTCTGCGGGTCCCCCCCCTACGCCGCCCCCGAGCTCTTCCAGGGCAAACGCTACGACGGCCCCGAGGTGGACGTCTGGAGCCTGGGGGTCATCCTCTACACCCTGGTCAGCGGGTCCCTGCCCTTCGACGGCCACAACCTCAAGGTGGGACCTCCCACCACCACCTCCCACCATTGTCCTACCACCTTCTTCCACCACGTCCCACCACCTCCCACCATTGTCCCACCAACACGTCCCACCACGTCCCACCACGTCCCACCATCTCCCATCATCTCCCACTACCTTGTCCCACCATTGTCCCACCTTCATCTCCCACCATCTCCCTGCCCTTCGACGGCCACAACCTCAA